CCGCCGCGCCCCGCGCGTCCCGTGCCCCGCGCCCTGGACGCAGACGGATCAGATTAGGAGACAGGGGTGCTGCATTTGATAGACGATCGGACACGGCGACGGCGGCCCAAGTCGACGCGGCAACGTTGCGACCCCCACTCCAACAAAGCCGATGTTCAAGTTAAGGGATTTACTTAACCTTAGATCACAAAACCGGCTTAGAACAACTGCAATGGCGCCTTTTTCGAAACTTGGCGGCTTGCACGTACGCGGGCGGACGGCGCCCGCGGTCCGGTGTGGCCGGACTTAGCGCAACGCTTCCACGACGTTGCCGCGCCGCCGCCGACGACGTTCGGCCGCTGGTTCATCAGATCTTGTGTCCATTTGGAATAACAGTGGCAAAGTTAAGTCAAGTCAAGGACGAGACAGACGGATGTCGTCCCTTGCCGGGCCGTCTGGCTCCTGCCGACCCTCGCATATAGTGACTGCCGCCCCGGCGTCCACAGGCACACCGCAGCCACCCGCCAACGCGAACACGTCCGGCTCCTCGCGCCGCCGCGCCGCCGCTCCGCCCGTCCCAGCGCCCCGCACAGCCTCTGGAGCCCAACCCGCTCGGCCTTGCAGCTCGGTGAGGGGTAGTGTCAGGTAGTGTGCACTGGGGAGAGAGGGGGGTGCGATGCAAGTCTAATCTGGGCTCATTTTAATCAGGAAGACCTGTTCACTCCGGCGTGTTACCATCGATCAATTTGATGCGTCGATCAGATTTAAGTTTTTAAAATTTCATCATTGTATGGAAATTTTTAAATTTTGAACAGGCGAAAATGAAGTGCGTTGCTCAGTGTCCCCACAATGGTTAGAACAGGCTTTCCCGATAAAAATGGGCCCCATTCGACTGTCCTCATTTTGCGCTTATGTGCAATTTTCGGAAGATTTTGAAAAATTGCGAAAATGACTGTTTTGGCTATAGTTTGAAAACTATGAGAGACTAACCAAGCGGGCGAAATTTTGGTCCAACGTTGGGAATTGGCGTGTTAAATCGTCAAAGGGGATCTTTGTACTAAAGTTTTCTCGAATAATTTTTAACGTGGCCTTACCGACACTCCAGCTCCTCTGGGTCCCGATCTGGCCGCTGATTCCCCCGAAGAGAGCCCTCGCCAGGAGGGCCGCCAGGATCGCCGCCGTGCAACTAGGTGAGGCTAGGCAATGCGCGTTGCGTGATAGGTATGAACACGTTCCGCGGCGTGACCACTATGGGGTCACGCTTCAGTGTTAAATCATAGGCACAAAAAATGAGCCGCAAGGAGTGTGTTAAGAGGATTCTTAAGTCTCGACCATGAAACAGTAGCTCAGGGAAACGACATCGGGTTCAAGTACCTAAATACTCAAATAAATCCTGATTTATTTGTCAAAATTTTGTCGTATTGTCTCGACTTGTTTCTGGAATGTTTCGGTATAGTTTTAGAATATTTTCCCTTGGTACGAATTTAATTATTAACTGATTTTGAAAAGTCCTACGACTTGTTCTCGTGGGGGAAGGACGCACATATCTCGTTTTCTCCTTAGTATACAGATTGCGTCGTCATGAAAATTACGACGTAGTATCATTATCGGGACTATGTTTCAGCGTCCAGTAGCTAGAAGCTGTGAGCTGTGGGACTTATCAAATAAGAAACTATATTCTTGAAAAGACCAACTACGGAAAATGACTCATTCTTCCCTGACCCTACAATACAGGTACAGGATGGTCCGTCAGCCCCTTTCTCTCTTCTCAGAGAAAAATATTTCTGTCCGGGCACTAAACGTACGTCTAATGCTCCCGACTTTTGTCCCAGCTCAAAATGAGATAGTGACCTGCCATTGAGTTTTAGTGCTGCTCTAAATTTTCTTTGCCTGGGATGCTACGTTTAGCTCCCAGCGCTAGACGTATAGTGCAACGAAAAAACGTCGATCTGGGGACAAACGTTTGGTGCTGTGACAGATTTTTTTCTCAGTGTTCTGGTTATACTGTACCGGATGCAAGCGTGCGGGCGGGCTTGCCTATCGTCACTCACCAAGGCGCCCGAGGCGCCTTGCGACCGCGCCCTACAGTACAGTACTCCTCCAGGACGAGGCGTAGGCGGGCCCTCGGACGGTCTTTAGAGAGACATGTACACTCATAAGGACCCCCCCCCCTCCTTGCAGCATTTTGCTCCGAGACGAGCTCCGACCTTTTCATAGCCAAACGGATCGCCGCGGCCGCGGCCTGGTGTATCCTGATATACTCCCTCGTGGTTGACGTCCCGCCGCCGCCAGCCAGACCTGCTGAATGGGGGTTTCCTTATGTCATGTTGGCTGACGCGTGCTTTTCTCTCTTTGTGTTGTTGGCAGCCATGGACGCCATGGGCGCGCTGGGCGCCGTGTCCGCGTCACTGTGGGTGCAGGGCGCCGCCGTCGCCGCGCTCTTCGGCCTCGTCTACTACTACCTGCTGATGCCCGTGGACTGGACCAAGGTGAGTGCCGCCGCGGCGCTGCTGGGCTGTGCGTGGTGGCTTAAAGCCGTGCAGTAAGCAAGGGAAACTTAAACCAAAAAATAAAACAAAAACTGAAAAAAATCAAGTCCCTCCATTAAAAATGAAAATCGGTGTAGGTTGTCTTATAAGTGAAGTTTCTTCAGCAGTGTACAGTATACTTACAGGACTGGACCGATTGTTTTGCAGGACTTATGTGACGTGGGCTTCGAGCCTACGGGCCGCGGGTGGCGCAAGGGCTTTCGCACTCGGGCGGCCGTGATGCGGGAGGCGCAGCGTCGGCGGCGCCTCGGCAACCTGCCGCCCGTGTACCCCAACGGCTGGTTCGCGGTGCTCGAGTCGTCCTCCCTGCCACGCTCCGGCGTCGAGCATGTCACCGTCCTTGGCCAAAACTTGGCCGTGTTCCGGGGCGAGACGGGCACCGTGCACATCCTGGACGCCTACTGCCCGCACCTCGGCGGCAACATGGCCGAGGGCGGCGTAGTGCACGGCGACTGCCTCCGCTGCCCCTTCCACGACTGGAGCTTCAACGGCCACGACGGCAAGTGCGCCAGCGTGCCGTACTCGCAGAAAGGTGAGTTGGCGAAGGGGTTGTCTAGGCGGGTTTGAGGTCGGCCCCTTGAGGACACCCGGATCTACCCTAGAAAGTTTAAAATCAAAAAATTTCCCGGGAAAATTTGGATCTTTTCCTGAATCAAAATGAGAAAGAAAAATGAGGACGAATAATAAAGACATTTTAAACACAACCTTCCCGATTCGCCCATATTTTGTAAAATTAAAAATCTCTACTCTACACTTGTCATTTCCGTTGTTGCAGTGCCGGACTTTGCGCGGGTGAAGCACTGGGAGAGCTTTGAGACCAACGGCTTCGTGTTCGTGTGGCACCACGCCGAGGGCGAGCCGCCCTCCTGGTGGCCGCAGCCCGTGCTCTCCATCATGGACGCCGGGTGGGCCTTCGTGGGGCGCAACGAGTTCACCGTGTCGTGCCACATCCAGGAGATCCCGGAGAACGGCGCGGACGTGGCGCACCTGAACGCGGTGCACGGCCCGGGGATGATGGGGCTGTCGGCGCTCTCCCAGCACTTGTGGAGCGCCCAGTGGAACCCGGGCACCGAGCCCGACAACCAGCACACCGCCGAGCTTTACCTCGACCACGAGATGGAGTTCTTCGGCAAGCTGCGCCTGCTCAAGATATCTGTGCGCGCTAACCAGGTAGGTGTAGTACGTACCCATTAACCGTTTTCCGCAACGAAAACAGAAAAAGAAAGTAAAAAGTACTACTTACTGTCTTCCTCTGTTTTCGTTGCGGAACGGTTAAAGTATCCCCTCCGCCCCCCCCCCCTCTCTCCCCGGGGCCAACCCACGCCTTCTGTGTCGTTGAGACGCCGCGGCGGTAGGCAACCTAACTGACGCGCCCGCCTCTTCGGTTGCAGATTGGCCCAGGCTACGTGGAGTTCGCCATGGACACGACTTTCGGCCCCATCGTGATGCTGCAGTCCGTGACTCCGGTCGAGCCGCTGGTGCAGAAGGTGGTGCACCGTATGCACTGCCCACGCTATCTCGTACCCTACGCCAAGTTTGTCCTCTACGGAGAATGTGTCATGGTGAGTTCAGAATCTTACCTCATCATTGCGTAATTTGAAACATGTGCACTAAAATGTTGACTCAAACGATTTTATTTTCCCGAGCAGTTTGAACGTGATGTGTTGGTCTGGAATCACAAGAAATTCGAGGACAAACCACTTCTGGTCAAGGAAGACCGACAGATTGCGCGATATAGGCGTTGGTACTCACAGTTTTATTCAGAAAACAGTCCAAAGCACTCTTTTCAACGCGAAACTATGGAGTGGTGATAGGGAAAGTTTTAATTTAAATTTAGACAGTCAGTGCATTTGCCTATATTTTTACTTTGGGACACTGTCCAATCATATGTACATTATTGATTGATAGTTATATATTTCTTGGGTTATTTCTTTTTATAGTTGACATTTTTATGTGGAGACACATGTTTTTGACAAGCACTAGTTTGTAAAATACAGGGTTCAATATTTCATTTTATCGAAGACTGCATTTAATTATTTCCTGTTCCATTAATTAAAAATTGTTTTTCATTCGCACACCTACTGCCGATCCTGCAGCTTTTACAATGTAGCGTAATAAACTTCTCGGCTCTCACATGACTTATAAGAAGTTGAGAATAACATGTATCTGATAGACTTAAGTATTATTATGAAGCAAAGACTTTGGAAATTCAATGTAGATTATGTATATATTAGACAATGTGATAAAAACATGTGATCCTACATATTGTACATCCGAAATGGTTCTGTTTTATTTATCGGGCGCATTTGTACCCATTTTTAAAATGTTGATGGTTTACGACGGCAGATATTTGCGAATTAAAATATCATATATTTATTACTATCGGATCCATTGTTTTAATCGCGTTAAAACCCTTCAACCCAGCGTCAGTTCGCTTGATAACGTCCACGCGTCTTCTGAGGACGAAGACGAGTCCCCAGCCTCCCTCTTTTTACTTTTCTTCTTTTTCTTTTTCCCCTTCTTCCGCCGGCGCCGCTTCTTCTTCTTCACCACGATCTTGCCGCTGTTCATCTTCCTCACGAAGTCCTCGTACTTGACCTTGCCCTTGCGCCTGGAGTCGGCGTACTTGATGAAGACTGCAAACTCGTACGGCGAGAACTTTTCCCCGGTGTTGGTCAGAACCTCCCGCAACCGCTGCTTGCTCACAAACCCTTCCTTGGGTTCGTCCAGGCGCCGGAACCCCTGCGGAACAGAGGTCCATGGTTCTGTATGGTGTACCGAACTGCCCCCAAAGAGCCACCCTAACGCTCGTAAACGTACGTCGAGGACGTGCTCGACCGTGATTGGGTCCTTGAGGCAGCGCCCCATGATGATGAGGAACTCCCTGAAGCGGACCACGCCGTGGGCCGGGTCCGCGTCCAGCCACCGCATGGCCTCCACCAGCTGGCGCTCCGTGGGGTTGAGCGTGAGCGCGCGGAGGACGGGGCCGAGCTTCGACACGGGGATGGAGTCCGTGCTGAACTCGTCGTACTTCTTGAACGCCTGGCGCATCTCGCGGACCTGCGGGTGCGGGAGCGCCCATGCTGCGCGTTAACTATGTGCGCTGCGCCGGAGCGCGGTGCCATCCCTTCCTCGCGCCGACCTGGGCGCGGACGCTCACCTCCTCCTCCGTGTACTCGTACGACTCCTCCTCCACCGCCTCCTCCACTGGCGCCGGCTGCTCCGATCCATCGTCCTGGACATCCTCGGCTGATGGTGGTGGTAGGTCCTCGACACGCTCCTCCTCTACATGCTCCTCCTCAACATGCTCTCCTTCTACATCCCCCTCCTCAACATGCTCCTCCTCTACATGCTCCTCCTCTACATGCCGCTCCTCGGCCTGCTCGCCCTGCTCCTCCCCCGCGCCTTCCCCGCCTCCCTCATCCTCCTCCTGCCCCATCGAGGAAGCTGCCACCGCTGCCGGATCTGAAGGTATTGCATCCTCGTCTTCTTGCTCGTCCATGTTCTGTTACACTCAAAATTTTTCCGTTTTCGTAATTTTTTTTATAATTTTTTCATATTTTTTTGAGGGCCTAAATTTTGCCAGAAGTCCTAGTTTCAAACACAGGGTGTCTTTGTTGGCAGGAAACAAAGCCACCCCCATCTTCTAGCTGGGTTGTGGCTCTGGGGCTTAGTTCTTGCGTACACGTGTACACCAGTAAGCATATGTTACGATGGTGATTGTATGCTGTATGCTTCCCCTATGTTCCTATACGCTCTGTGGCAGTGGATCTAGGAGGGAGAGCCGCAAAAGAGAACGCGTGCGGCGCGTGCCTTTCGGTCTGTGTTATCCTTCAGCCTGCACGGCACTGGGTAGGCAACCAATCCACCACTCAAGTTCGACGGGTCTGTGTGCGGCCACAGGGGCCAAAGAACTAGAGAACATAATAATGTCTAGTAATAAATTTTAAATTTAGACACAACCACCACTACCACCACTAGCTCGCGCCCCAAGATTTACTTGCTACCTTTTCGCGTGACGCGTATGGCCAATAGATTGCCTATGCACTGGGCGAAGCACTCGACCAAGAGGTGAACCGGGGCACGATACTCAGACGACCCAGACCCAGGGCGCGTGACAGATCGTCTGAAGCAGTCTGAAGCCGTAGTCTAAAGCTCGAATGGTAGCAGCACAGCTGAAGAAACGGTAAAGTGCATCTGAACCTCTTTCAAAACTTTGCGCCGTTTTTGATTTAAGTCTCTACTTCCGGATTTGATCTATTCCCAACACTACAAAAAATCCCCTGTTTCCGGTTCGTCTGTCTGTCTTTCACAGATACCACATTCACATTAGCATTCATCATCATCACAACAACAAACGTTCGTTTGGCGTTTGGAAAGAAAATCGTCACGTTCTGATTTGATTTTATTGTATCGCTTGGAAGCACTTAAGCAGAGTAGAAAACAAGTTAATATTCTTCAGAGCAGTCTGCACTAACAGTGAGTACTAATTTTTAATAACAAGTGTGGTCCTTTGTTCCCTGAATATTGTGTTCGTTTTTTAGGTTAGGCGTGTCGCTAACATTTTACCAAATTGGATATTGCTAACAATACATTTCCCCTTGTCTTTAATTTCTTTTATGTTGAACGAATTGTTTTTCATTTATCTGAACTAAATATATATTAATTTGTAGTGTTTATATTTTTTGGGGGAGAGGGGGTGTATGTGCATTACGCTGTCATGATAATGGTTGTTTGCTCATGAATAATATGTGTGTACGAGTCTGTCCAAACTGAATTTTCAATCGTTTCGTTCCGAATGGGTCGGAAAACCCCCTCTTCTTCTCTATTTAGACTCATTCCTACCTGATCAGAAGGGAAAGATTGAGAATTCGGTCACACACTTGATATTTGGCACTTACTTTAGTTTCCATTGTATCACTGTGCTCTTTCTTTATATATATTATTGTTACTTACAGGTAGTCCACCATGGGCAAGAGCCGCTCACCTTCACCCCGTAGGAGGCGCAGTCGGTCTAGAGATAGAGATCGTGACCGCTATGACAGAGACAGGGATCGTGATAGGGACCGTGAACGTGACAGAGACCGTGACCGCAGAAGGAGACGTTCTAGAGAAAGGGATGTTGTCAGAAGAAGGTGAGTGAACATAATTTAACTTTTGCTGAAATGTTGATGTGAACCTTGGTTTGTTCATTTCAATTTTGGATGTTCAATGTCTAATCTTTTTTTCATCAAATTTTTGTCTGTAGGACTTCAAGATCAGCTGATAGAGATCGTCCTGTTCGACGCTGGTCCAGATCAAGGTCTAGGTCAAGATCTCCTGTCAAAGCAGATAAACCAAAGCCTCGACCAATCATGCAACCTAAGATCATCACAGGTTAGTTTGTCCACATTTTCAAACAGTGTTTGCTACATATTTAGGGGACACTAAACTAAAAATCCCAAAATTTAATTAAGGAAGTTTATTAAAAATCTGGTTCATAATTGTACTACTCACTTTCACAATTAAGTTGAGTTATAGGATGACCAACTCTATCAAAAAACTTTCTGCACAAAAACCTTTTAAATATCCGTGTTTATATTTGGTGGATTTTGTTTTCTTATAGCTCAAATTAATCCTGAAAGTAAGCACTAAAATGATAAACCACACTCCTTCTTCTGTCCCTTATTTAGATTTTAACTTTCATTGGTCCATTAATTGTGGAGATGTAGAATTTTTAGTGAACGCTATTAGCAAAATTGAATAGCGTCAAGTTCTAAATCTTCTGTTCTATCTTATTTAAATTTTAGATGCTGATCTCGCTGGGAAGACTGAAGATGAACAAGAGATGCTTAAGTCAATGGGATTCTGCTCGTTCGATACCACTAAAGGCAAGAAGGTTCAAGGAAATGAAGTTGGAGCTGTTCATGTTATACTCAAGAGAAAATACAGACAGTACATGAACAGAAAAGGTGGATTCAACAGACCTCTGGATTTCGTTGCCTAGGTTGGTGGTGCAATATACTTCAGACCTAAAGTACCGAGGTATGGCAGTGATTGTCTTAAATGGCTAAGGCAAATTCAGTATATGCAGAATTAATTTATCACCTTCTGCCACAATTGTTCTCTTGTGATCTGTGTCAAAATAACTATCTGCCTCTCCATAGCTCAAAAATTGGAAAAGTTATTGAATGTCACTGAGTTAAGTATCATGTCTTATCTGTTTGTTAGGTTTCTGTTTCATATATGGTCTTCATTCTGAGTGATAAAAGAAACATTTTATTTGTATATATACTTCGTAAGTAATAAAACCACAATCTAAAACGCACAATCTGTTACTTATTGTGACGTGCCTCGTAAAAGTTTTGTGTTCAGTAAACTTCACAGCTTCTCTCGCATATAGGGGCTGAGGCAGGCGGCGCCCCCCACCTTTTCTTTTTCATTAGTTATGCGCGTGCGGTCGGTCAGCCTGCCGCCGCCGTCATGTCACAGGACATGTGAGCCCGCC